AGTAGCGGTGGCGGTGGTGGATGGTGGAAAGTGGTAGTAGTGTAGGTGGTGGTGTTGGAAGGCGGCAGTGGTGGCAAAATTGGTGGTAACAGTGGTGGTGGAAGGTGGCAGTGGTGTTGGTGGAAGGCGGTGGCAGTAGTGTGGTGGTTGTGGTGGAAGGAGATAATGGTGTGACTATAATGGTGGTGGAAGGTGATGGTGATGATGGAAGGTGGTGGCGGTGGTGGAAGGTGGTGGCTGAAGGTGGTAGGCGATGGCGAAAGGTGGTGGCGGTGGCGGAAGGTGGTAGTGGTAGCGATGGTGAAAAGTGGCGGTGGCGGTAGTGGAAGGTGGTGGCGGTGATAGAAGGTGGTGGTGGTGGGTGGCGTTGGTGGTTGTTGAAGGCGGCGGCGGCGGTGGTGAAAGGTGGCAGTGGCGGTGGTGGAAGGTGGTGGTGGTAGTGAAAGGCGGTAGCAGTGGTGGTGGTGGTAGTGAAAGGCGGTAGCAGTGGTGGTGGTGGTGGAAGGTGATGGCAGTGGTGAAAGGTGATGGCAGTGGTGGCGGTAGAAAGTGGTGGCGGTAGAAGGTGGTGAAAGGCGGCGGTAGTGTTTGCGGCAAACAGTGGCGGTATCAGTGATGAAAGATGGTGGCGGTGGTGGTCGTCGAAAGTGGTGGGCGATAGTGAAAGTCGGTGGTGGTGGAAGGCAGTGGTGGTGGTGCTGAAAGGCGGAGATGATTGAGGTGGAAGGTAATTGTGATTTTTAGACTTGGAATATAAGGGTGTTTTGGGAAGTCAATTTTTTAAAATAAATAACTTGGGAATGGAATGGCCATTCTATAGGTTTAGTTGTGGAATGGATTTTCAATCCTTTCATTCTTATGGAATGGCCATTCTCACTTTAAGTTGCATACCAAATAAAATAATGGTTGGAATGGATATTCCATTCCATTTCATTCCATTCCATTCACGCACACTAAACGTAGCATTAATGATTATATATTTACATTTCTAATATAACTCCTCTCGGAAATACTTCTAAATAGGATTTGAACTTTTAAGACAACATATATATGAAAATGATTCACTACCAAATTGCGTAATATCTAAACATAGAAGTTTGTTGAGAAATAACCACCATAAATGGAAAATAAGTAGACAATTAACTCATAGTTTGGTATATCCAATTGAATGATGTGAAATCAACTGAAATGCCACAAATTGGATGATCCATCATCAGTAATTAAAAAACTTGCCTGAAATTGGTAGGTCCAGTTCCACTTTGGAGGAATTGGGCAGTTTGTGCCCAGCACACCATTTAGCCATGAAGAGCGCATTTGGACTCCACGCCTATCAAAATCATAAAATCTCAAATCCCTAATAACTACTATGGAAATGTAATCCTGACTATTAAAACAAACAAACAAACAAACGAAAAAAACAAACACACGCACAACATTGGTAACTACATGGTCAGTCCAAACCTACCAAGTAACAAACTAATAAATTGGAGATATTAATCCAATTTATTCTTCACATTTACTGCTATAACCAACAAATAAGAGTGAAGGAAAAAATGTGAAATTACAGCCCAAATCAACTCTACGAAAACTCAAACAAACCCATTAGCAGAACTATCATATGGAAAATTTCCTCAAAACTTTATTCTATGAACCAAATACATTTACAGCATTAAGCACATAATACAACCCAAAACATATTCCATAATGACATTCATGGGTACTTCCCACAATCCCACTTCACCAATATACCAACAACATTCCTGATTCCGCTACATTACAACATTATCCTCAAATTACTGCCAAAATCAACAAAAAAATTCACATGGTTCCAAACCAGCCTATTCACTCATCAATCCACCACAACCTGATTGAAGTAACAATTCATTTCACATCAAACGGACAAAGTAAAATCATATCTAGTGACTCATTTACACACTCATTCTACTTTACCAATAATCATTTACGAACGCACTCTATTTTACCAATAATCTTGGTTGTCGTCACACGAGTGGTTGCTTGGATTCAATATGGGACAAGTCTTCTCTTTAACAATAACCATGCAAGCCTAAAAAAAATGTCCAATAACTTACCCAACAAACCCAATTATTAGCAAAATTGTGCCCAATCAACAAAACTGCGGTCGGGCCACATTGCCTATCCGAGTGGCTCACTTAGACGTTTTTCAGACCGAATGCTTGGCGTGACACAGGATCAAAGACTGAGTCTGGTTCTAATACCAATTGTAACAATGAGCGCTTACCCATTTATCCGAAAACTTAAACTGTTGGATAGTGCTGCATATCCACCATTTATACCCAATCAATCTCCCATCCCGATCCACTGAACCAGCACAATTTTATTCTTGAATTTTAACTCAAAAGGTCCGATACCATTGGAGACAGTACATATAAGAACTTCACATAAGGTTGCCACAATTGATACCCTATTTTTACTACATATCTCATTTTATTTTTATTTATTTATTTTTATTTATTTTTTATCAAATATACGATTCATTGTAATCTAATTATGTTTATAAATATACATATATAGACACACACGTCATTTTCTATGCGATAATGATAAATTATGAATATATATATGTGATTTCTAAATTGGAGAATTCATGTTATAGTTATTGAATATCATATTCTTAAAAGGAAAAATTGTTGTTGTAAATAATAAAATGTTTAATCAAAATTTTTTTTGTTGCATATGATATAATATTATAAAGGAGCACATGCAATGAAGTGGATTAGTAATCATTAGAAAATTGCATACAATTGTTAACAGATATTACTTTTTACCATTTAAGTCAGGAAAAATCTCAAGAATTTACTTTCTGAATTTCTTCCAACGCCGCTATGTCTCTGGAACAACAAATATTATTGGTTTGTTCAACTGGTATATGGAATTGTTAATAAATTAGACATCAACCATAGCCACCTTAGTATTCTTTGATTAATTGTGGTCTTATTCTCACTCCACATTGCATGGTTTAAGACTTTCAGTGATTAAATCTGCCGTATTTGAAAATAAATTGTACTTTTAAAATTTGAATTGAATGTGACAATATCAATACCATAATAGCCTTTATTTTTTATATTGAACTTAGGTTTATTTATTTATTATTATTATTTTTTTATCGGATAGGTTTACTTCTTTAGTTGGTGGGTTTCATTGCTCAAACAGGGGCTTAATATTACATGACGAGATGTAGGAATTTTGTTGTGCTTATAAAATGTTATTGTTATTAATTGTCCTCAATCCACATAACCAAACTAGAATGCATGAAGTCCCGGGGGCTAGCAGTGATGGTTAGAGTTTGGGCTTCAACATCCGAGACCCGAGTTCGACTCCTAGCCTCTGCGTTCCCGGACTCACCCGAAGGTGTCCTTAAGCCTAAGGGGCCCTGCGTGGGGGAGTTCCTGAGTCGACGTAAAAAAAAAAAAATAAATAAATAAAAAGGGGTAGAATGCATGAAGGTGTTTAGAATGCTCATAGATGAAGCCAACCTTTGATCTCCTCCTAACTTCACACGTGATATATGTCACTTTTTGACCACACCCTATCCCATTTGAAAATTTATTCCCTTTTTAATCACGCTCAAAATTAAGGCCAAGAGAAGACATACTCTCTCAGCTCAAAGACTAAACATTAATTTCTGTAAGTTCTTTGACTAGAGAAGCTATGCTAGGCCGATGAACTATTTTCTATTCATTAGGTCATGCGAGAGGTTGTCAATGCATGAATAAATATAAAATTGGTGAAATTAGAGAAAATTATTTAATTTCCATTTTTTGAATTATATTTTTCTAATTTTATCAATTTAAATTTTAATACTCAATTTCATTTAACCTAACACAACCTTAATTTATATAGAAATAGAAGCAGCTGTTTATGGCAGCTTCTACCGGTCATAAAATGATAATACCACCACTATATTGGTTATCAATTCAACTAGCAAAGCCATCTCATGATACAATTTATTGCCATACAAATTACATTTCTTTAGCAGCTTATTCAAAATCAAGTTAACAAAATATTATTGAATATAGTGGTGGACTATATAGACACAGTTTGAACAAAATCGTAAACATAAAAGGAAAAAATGAATAATATCTACATAAATTTCAACGGGTCGTCACAAACCGTATGAGAACCAATCCTCAATTTGATCAGACCAGCGAGACTACAATAATATTCAGCAACCAACTTACTAAGTGGGCCAAGCTTTATGTATTGGACGTCCCCAGCCCACCACATGATACATTTGTAATAGGTCCTTCAAAACCCACATGTTTTGGCCCACTCAAATACTCAATAGATAAGATCCATTTTATATCAAGTAATATACAAACTAAAAACTTAAAAAATCGATTATATTGTATTAGTAGTAATAAATTGAATCATTATATAAAAAAATAAAAATAATAAAAAAAAAACCTAGAAAGTGCATATATTGCATTTATTGGAATTTTTTTTACAATTTGCATAGAGCAAACTACTAGGCACATCTGAGTCCACCCCTAAATCCCTAAATGAGAGTATTAATTTCAATAATTGACACATCAGTCTAACAAAAAATTAATTAAAATTTTTATCAATATATATTTTTTTGATAAAATGAGCGACAATATGGAGGGACTATGTTCCATCCTGTATAAATAAAGATTAGCCAAGTCAAGACAGTAAAAAGATAAAGTAAACAGTGAGAATTGGGACACAAAATAGACTGGATGGAGCTTGAGATTGGACCGAAACAAAAATCATTATTGTGTCGGAATTTTAATTTTAAATTCAGTTTTTTTATAAAGTAAACAGTGAGAATTGGGACACAAAATAGACTGGATGGAGCTTGAGATTGGACCGAAACAAAAATCATTATTGTGTCGGAATTTTAATTTTAAATTCAGTTTTTTTTTTTAAAAAAAAAAATCATGTATCAACTTATACATATGTTGGCCTAATTCAAGAAAACATAAATCACATTATGATACTAAGAGAAAGATCTCACTTCTGACATATATAAACCACAAGTCAATGCAACATAAGTTCGGAACAAATACAACGCAAAAGGCACACATACCACAAACTAACAACAATTTTGTTGAACTAGATTTATAGGACACAGTTGCTACTTTACCAATACTTCATTCTTAAAACCCTTGACATAACTTTGACATCGATAAGACTCAGCAACAGCTCCACTTCCTCTAGCCTCGCAAGTCGAAACTTCTTTCTGTTAAGAATATAAAACAATCAAGAGAAAGTAATCGTACACAAAAAAAAACACTATTTACGTAGTTAGGCAAAAAAAATTACCTACATTTACATAGGGCACCAAAATTTCGCTATCAATAATGAGGGTTTACAATGAAGAGTTCTCACACAATAATCCTTACAAATTCGACTACCCCTCAAAACCGAATACAGAAAAATAAAAGTACTTAAATACAAAGGGCATAGAATGGTATAAAAAGACACCTAAAAAATAATAATAATAATTTCTCACTATCAGCAATGTCCTAGTCTCCTAGAGATTGATGCCATTTCATGATACATTTTATTGTCATGACAAGTTTCATTTATTTAGCAGCTATCCAAAGTCAAGTTATATATTGTGAAGGATTTTATCTACATTTTCCATTTTTGATGATAATCTAAAAAAATGCCATTGGCAGGTAAACCAAAATTTAACACAATATCGTATTTAACATTGATTTTAAAAAGTATTACTTTATATATTAATTCTCTAAATACTAGTTTCTAGCTTCTTCTTCTTCCTTTTAATTTTTTTATTTTAATTTTATCCTATTATTTTCTAGCTTTAAAAATTTCTAAAAAATGTTTCTAGAGAACGGAACTAAATAGGTCTTTAATCATCATCCAAGCTCATAATTAATTTTATTGATCGAGATATATAAAGCAATTAATAATGCAATAATAACGGGAACAAACAAGATCAACGAGAAAAGAAAAAAACATAAATAAAAAAAGAAGAAGAAAAAGAAACCATAGCAAACAAGTAATGGTGGAGATTTTTACCTGTGAAATAAGAGACCACACTCTTCCTCAAAATCAGGAGACATCAACTTCTTCTTCTATCTTCTTGTTGCCATATGAAAAGAGGCCAGAAAGCAGAGCGAGTTTCTTCATTTTCCCATTCTAAATTATCCCGCCACTCATCTGCACATAAAATTTCGAGTTGACTGTCTTTCCCACTACTATTGCAGTTCAATGGAAATTTCTTAAGCTTCGGACATTTAGCCACTTCAAAGTAGGTCAGAGAAGGGAAGGGCAATGCATGAGTGTAGATGCTCTTTAACTCTGGTAGATAAAGCAGTCTCAATGTTCGTAGCCTTGCGAATACACTCAATTTTCCTATTTCCCTACCAATAATATCATCTTTTATTACTTCTTCAATTGCATCACAGGACCAAATTTCTAAACGTTGAAGGTTTGGCACCCAAATTAGCCATGTTACATCCTTCAAAACCTTGCACTCGTCAATGTAAACGTCCCAAAGGTTATGAAAGCTTCTGCTTCCATCTATTATACTCTTCTGCAACGGATGATGATAGTTTTTGTGAGGTAATGCGCCTCTCTCTCTTTCCTCGCACCTCATCCCATCCATCGACGACTCCTCTATATCATCACAAATTTCACAATTTACAATTTCAAGACTTTCTAGTTTCTCCATCTTCTTCTGTAAAGAAGACATTTGCAGCGATATTGAGGCTCTTTTGACTCCACGGATGCTTAAACCAAACGTTAAACTTACAAACTTTTCCAAACTTAATAATTTTTGGAGAGCAAGCTCTGTTTTCACCGTCAAACTTAAATATTGAAGGTGATTCAAGCATTCCAATTCATCCAATAACAATTCATTACCACCAAACAAGACGCTGCTGCCTTCATCAATATTTCCCTCTGAATCTGAACCACGACAGCCACTGCCACCGCCACTGCCACTGCCACGCATCTCCAACCTTTGCAGCATCAAAAGACTTGACATGACTTGCGGCGAGATAATATCAAGTTCATTCATACGATTCAAATATAAATACTTCAACTTTACCAATGACTTAAACTCAATTGGCAATTCCCTTATTTTGGTCCACGAGAGATCAAGATATTCCAATGAAACCAACCCCAACAAGCTCGTCGGTAACTTTCTTAGTTTAGGACTGCCTGATAGATCTAACACCTTGAGAGTAGGCATAAATTGGAAAAAACTATTGGAAATGGTCATCAAAGGATAATTACAATAAAGAATTAGAGTCAAAAGATTGGGACATCTAGGACTTCCGCATAATTTTTCAATTGAAATATCGAACAAAAGTACTCGTTCAGCCTTCTCCCATTTAGGACTTTCTCCTTGCACCAAATATTTCTCTTTTTCACTCCCACTCTCCCAAACTATCCCCTTCTCCCGAACTATCCACAGTGCCATGTCCCGAATCAGGTCATGCATATGAACACGATTGTAATTTGAGCTCTCCACCAACAAACATGCAAGTTTCAACCTACATATAATATTATATGCCAACTTACAAGCATCATCAATGTTATCATCACATTCAGCATCAAGAAAACCCTCACCTATCCATAATTTTATCAGATGGGAAACTGCAATATCATCATCTTCCGGGAACAAAGCAAAATACAAGAAACAAGTCTTAATCGTTTCATCACATAAGTAATCGTAACTGAACTTCAAAAGAGGAAACACCTGGTCTCCCATGTCTGAAAATTTGAATATAGATTTCTTCAACACACTTACTGCATAATCCCATTCTTGGGGGGTTCTCTTGCTAGCCATGGCTCGTCCAATCGTACTAAGCGCAAGTGGCAAACCCGCACATTCTTTGCAAACTTCTTTTGCCAGCCTTGCTATTTCAGAGTCAGAATTGATCATCTCTTCTCCCACCTTTTCTTTAAACAAATCCCAAGCTTCCTCCCATGCCAAGCATTCCGCCTTTATCTTCTTCTTAGCTTGCATAAGACCGCACACATCCTCAGATCGGGTGGTGAATATTATCTTGGCCTTATTTTGATTGTCTGGAATTGGAACTCCCACTTCAAGAAGATCAATTCGTTTCCATATGTCATCCAACAGTAGCACAAATCTCTTCCTCTTTAAGACTTTGAAGATATCTGCCTTCTTTTCCTCTTGGCTTTTACCCCTCCACATGTCATCTGAAAATCGTAGTTTCTTGCCAATTTTATCTTGAATGCTTTCCACACTACTTAGATCTTTGGACACCGTAACCCATATAACTTCATCGAACTCACTACGCAATTGACTTGCAAGCTCGTTGTTGATCATCTTCAAGAGGGTCGTCTTTCCGACGCCCCCCATCCCGTAGATTCCGATGATTCCAGTTCCATCATCTCTAAGGAGACTCAAGAGCTTGTGAAAATTTGCATCCAAGCCCACAGTCCTATCAAGAGGAGTTTCTTCGGCGTGTTCCGCGGCCATCGGTACAGCCACAGTACTGAAATTACCTTCACTCTTCATATTAGAGAGAGTCTGTAACTTGTCGGATACTCTCTTTCCGAGCTTATGGGTAGACCAGCAATTTCTGGGACATATTTTGAGACACTTATGCTGGATCTGTTCATCACCCTGTTGGAGAAGCTCTTCCACTTCCCTCTCCAGTTGTTCTACTCTTTGAAGCCAGCCAATGACTTGCTGGTTGCGTTGTTGCATCGGTAGCCTCTCGGCAGCTTCAACTTGTCTCTTCACATCATCTCTTTGCCTTTTCAATGTTCCAATTTCAGTTGTCAAAGAGTTAAGATTATCATGGAGATTGCGAATATAGTATGTAGAGTCCCTGATGCAACTACAAAATCGGGACGTAGCATCCAAGATTGGGCTCACACAGTCCATTGATCTGAACAGAACAGCCTGAATACAAAAATTACAAGAGTACTTCAGGAAATGGGAGAAACACTGGGAAGAAAAGAAAAGATAGGTAGAGAAGCAAATGTAGTATAATTTGCATGCATATATTAATTCTTTTGGTCATGTAGAAAAAGTTTCAAGGATAAAGAATATAAGGCTCGTATGAAACGCAAGTTTCCAGTGATAAGGTCGTTGACTGACTTTGAAATTTTGTCCTAGATCTTTTGTGTAGTAAATAGTTGTTAGGTTGTTATTTATTATTTTTAGAATTACTTTTGTTAGTATTATTTATTGTTTTTAGGGTTAATCTTATTATTATTTATTATTGTTAAAAAAAAATTCTTATTATTAGGAGAAACTTTATACATTGAAATACCAACGTGATTTAAAGGAACCTTTAATAAGTCATTTTTAATTCAAAATTCAAAATCCGAACTTAGGTGAGATTTGAGCGTATAGCATTTAATTTTGTTTTCCTTTTTTTAAAACTTTTTTTTAACCATACAAAACCAGAAGATTTCAGGGGAATAATGTTATTATGTTTCTCATACTTGGTTGTGTCTCTGTAACGGAAGGGGAACACTTTTTACTACTTCTCTACTTTAAATGTATATATATTTAAAATTAAATTTAAAAACTCAATAATTTTCTGTGGTTGGCAAAAGCACAATCCAAGCTTGCCAGCTTCCACCATGTGGAGTATATAAGAAAGAGACCCATCAACAACCAAATTTTAATTATTGCGTCCACTTGATAAAGACTAATGCTACAAATTATCATAGATCCTTTATGCAATTTTAATAATGTCCAACAACCACTCTTTTCAATAATGGATGAAAGTATAGTCCATATTCTTTCAGGACAATTATCTAACCAAATGAAATGAATCAAGCTCAACTCAAGATCCAATTGAAACCAAGTGCATTAGGAAATTGGATTAAGTCAAGGAGATCAAAGTCAGATTTATATTCACATTTGAATATTCCAAGAAAATATAGAATTTTATGTGGTTTTCTTTGCAGGTCAGATCAAATTTTGCTAGTTTTTTTTTTTTTTTTCCTTCCTTATGTATAAATATCATATACAATCTTGCTCAAATGCAAGAAAAGATCAATAACATTCTGATATTAAGTGTATAGCATCATCTCCGGACTTGGGCAAGATTTGAGTGTATAGCATTTAATTTTGTTTTTCTTTTTTTCCTTTTTAATTTTTTTTTTTTTCTTAACCATATGAAACCAGAAGATTTCAGGGCAATAATGTTATTATGTTACTCATACTTGGTTGTGTTATATCTCCTTAAGTCCCTCTGCAAGGTTAGCAGTTAACAATTATTTACAAGAGAATAATTTAGTTAATTTTAAGTGAAGGGAAACACTTTTTACTAGGGGTGCACACGATCCGGTTTGGACCGAATTAGGAGTATTTTGGGATCAAATCATTTATAACGGTTCCATTATTTTTTAAACCAGACCGAATCATAATATCAATGGAACCAAACCAAACCAAACCGTGAAAAATCGGTTTGGTTCGGTTCGGTTTGTCGGTTTCAGTTGATTTCCTTTTTATTTTATTTTAATTTAGAGGGGGAACGTTTTTTTTTTTTTAAAAAATCAACTATAATACGCAAAAAATAATAATAATAATAATAATAATAATTTTAAGAAGGAGAAAAAGAAAGAAAATTGAGATATATTTGGAAAGGGAAATTTGACTTTTTTTTAAAAAAAATTAAGAAATTTAAAGAACAAAAGAAATAAATGGGGCATGTGAGAAGTGAGAACTTTACTTGATTTAGGTTTAAGATGTAATATATATATATATATATATAACATAGTAATGATTCAGTCTGAGCTGGTCCGGTCCAACACGACCCTAAATCAGGACCGGACCGAAAAATTGCGGTTTCATAATTTTGGGCCCAGAACCGGACCAAACTGCAATACAACTAGCCCAAATCGCCCAATTTAGTACGATCCCGACGATTTTTCGGTTTACCGAATTTTTTGAATACCCCTACTTTTTACTACTTCTCTACTTTAAATGTATATATATTTAATATTAAATTTGGAAACTCAATAATTTTCTGTGATTGGCAAAAGCACAATCCAAGCTTTGCCAGCTTATGGAGTAAGATAGAAATATACCTAGTATCTAACTCCTCTATTTTGAGTTGATGAGAAAGAGACCCATCAACAACCTAATTTTAATTATTGGGTCCACTTGATAAAGACTAAGATTACTAATAATCATAGGTTCTTTATGCAATTTTAATAATGTCCAACAACCACTATTTTCATTAATGGATGAAAATATAGTCCATCTTCTTTCAGGACAATTATCTGAGCAAATCAACTGAATCAAGCTCAACTCAAAATCCAATTCAAACCAAGTGGATTACAAATTTATTACATAAATTGGATTAAGTCAAGGATATCAAAGTCAGATTTATATTCACATTTGAATATTCCAAGAAAACATAGAATTTTATGTGCTTTTCTTTGCAGGTCAGATCAAATTTTGCTAATTTTTTTTTTCCTTCCTTATGTATAAATATCATATACAATCTTGCTCAAATGCAAGAAAAGATCAATCACATTCTGATATTAAGTGAAAAATCTCACTTCTGACATATAGCCCACTAGTGTCTGCAACTTTAGTTTGGTACAAATAAAACATAAAAGGCGCACACATACTACAAACCAACAACAATTTTCTTGAACTAGAATTATATGACACAGTTGCATAATAACCCCTTCCATCCCCTTGGCATTGCTGTTAAGCAATTCTCCTAAGAGCTTCTGACAGACATCACAAGAAGAGATGGAAATGGAGTTTTCTTCGCAACTTTCCTACCAATATTTCTAGTTCATTCTATCTTTGGTTTGAAATATTAACAAGGAAAAAATATGGGAGAGGGGTCTCTCTGCAGCTTGCCATCTGATACATTTAGTTTTTTCATCTTCTCTTCACACCAAAATAGCTGCTCTTTACTGATTCTTAACATTCTTAGAACCCTTGACATGACTTTGACATCGATAAGGCTCAGCAACAGCTCCACTTCCTCTAGCCTTGCAGGCCAAGACTTCTTCCACCCTTTCTTCCTTTTCTGCAGTTCCTTCAGCTTCATCCTTATCTGTAGTTTAAAGAGAGTTCGGGACAAAAGCAGTCGTCAGCAACTGGAACAGCTGAATCAAAAGATGAATATTGCACTTCAATTGCAAACCAAACAGTTCAACTAGCAAGGTCCTATAGAGATTAATCTTAGGCAACACAAATATTGGTATATTGTCCTAGCAAATATGAACAACCTTTTCTTACATCAAATATGAATAAGCTGAGAGCACTAAAACACACAGACTAGATTAGATCACCAATTCAACTAGCAAAGCCATCTCATGATACAGTTTATTGTCATGACAAATTCCATTTCTTTAGCCACTATCCAAAATCAAGTAAAAATATATTGTGAAGGATTTTATGTACATTTTCCACTTCTAATGATAACCTAATAGAACAGTAGAACCCAATTGGCATGTAAAACTAAATATAGCACAATATGGTAATTAATATATATCCTGTCTGGGATAATTAAGGATTTACAGAAAAATCAGTCATGGATGTCACATGCATATTCTATGGTAATTAATATATATCCTGTCTGGGATAATTAAGGATTTACCAGAAAAATCAGTCATGGATGTCACATGCATATTCTATGCTCCATTACTGATGCTCAATATTTCAGAATGATTCTCTTAGTTTATACATCATGTGACCACCAATGGGCCACTGGCCCAAGTGGTCTTACCTCTCCCCCAGCGGGAAGGCAAGAGGGTTTATGATATTGGCATAGATCAAGGATGCAGTTGTTACCAGCTAGCAAGATCAAAGTTAACATCCAAATAAAATATTCAAGAGATTTGATCTGACAAGCAGCTTAGAATTTGAGCATTGAAGTTCTGTGATGGACACTTCACAGATAATGTGAAACAAGAAAGGGCAGTAAAAGAGCTTAGGCGAGTAGACATTAACAGTAAAGGTAAGACAGAGAATGGAGTGACTGAGATTTACCTTCTCAAGAGAAGATTGAATCTGTTGGAGAGGGGTAGCCCACTGGTTCTGACCTCCAATAAGATTACGAACACCAATTGATTTTTTCTTGTCTATCTTTAGGAAAAGGTAGAAAGTCTGGATTGAGCTCTCAATTATTTTAATTAGATCTTGACCGAGTACCAGCGAATCTGACTCTTCTTCCATCTCTTTTCGATCCGAATCTAACAAAAATTCATGAAAAAATAATCATAAAAAAGAACCAACACACTGGAACCAACCTTAAAAAGAGTATTTATATATTCATGAGAATATAAAGTTTCCTTGACATCTTAGAGCACTGTTGAACAATTTATCAGCATCTAATGAGGTGCCGGGACCACAGGCAACATGGCCCTCAATCATTGCCAAATAGAGACTCAATAACGACATATGACATCTAAAAGAAGCAACACATCTGTGGGCTGAAGTTCCATTCAGATCATTAACCCTGGGCCTCCTTTGAAGAGGTGCCAAAAGGGGATGAGACACACTGCAATACTCTGATAGTCTGATGCTAGACACCCACCCTAGCTGGGAACAGGAATGGGGAGATCCTAGAAAGTTCTGTGCTTGTCAATATCATGATCCCAAATTGTGGTGCCAGATATGGGACGCTCAAAGGTGTCAATTTGATGGCTGAAATGGGAAATAGCCAAAGTTGGTCCATCCTCTGGCAGCCAAGGACCATTTTGGTCCCTTTGGACAGAAAAGGGAGCTCACATGGCATTTTCATTGCAATACAAAACTGATATCTGGCACCAAGCTCCACGAGCAGACAGCCCAAGCTCTGTATCCGGTCTTGGCCTCTGAAGTCCTGCTCGACTTCACCTACTATGGGAGCACTATACAAGCCAACATCCTTAACTGGCTAATCAATTTTCATACCCTTTTTTCCTAGTTGGTAGTCACACGCCCCCAAGGAATTGTTTGCACTCGAGAGGAGTTAAACCTTAGACCTGATGCCTCTTGAGGCACCAGGGCCAAGTGACGTACAAATTTTCATACCTTTAAGAAGACCTTTGGACTGGAAATCATATTTCTAGGGTTCATTAATAAGACCATACCGAAACAGGTATTCCACCAAGAACCCAATCCATCAACACAAAGTAAGCAGAATATCATGACCAATGCGAAATCAAAAATTTTAACTGAAGTGATCCAACCTCTACTGCTTAAATATTTGCATATTTACCTTTTACTTTAGGAACCTGAAGCAGTCTAGGCAACAAGTTTCTTGCTCGAGCATAAATTTCAACCCTGGAACCCTGCTCAAAAGGTTCATTTTCGATAAATCTTTGTAACAAAACCTGAAACTGCTGAAATTGCTGAGCACTGTGGTTGTAACAAGCTGAATTTTCGGGTAGGCAAGAAATTTTCTGGCTCAATTGCGTGTATTGACAATGAAGAGCCTCCCAAGTCAAGCAAGCTTGAGCCACATATGCCGTCTCAAGATCCTCATAGGGGTTATTTCCTTGCTGCTGCAGATGCTCAGTTTCATCTTCAGGTTCTTCAATCTTCTTCAAAGAAAGGCAGCGAAGTGGGGAAGTAAGCTTCTTAGATGCAGATTTTGGTGATGGAGTTGAAGGATTATGGGAGCCTGTAACACAGTAAACCTTAATATGTGGAAAGGATCTACATATTTCATTGCAACACAACAGCTAAGTAGGGAAGCTGAAAAACAGAATCAGCCAAACGGGGATATTTTATTAGATGAAAAAAAGTTGAACATACCAGCCTCAATAACTACGAAAATAAGGGGCAACACACAGAAAATGACACTTCATTTGCAGGTACAAGAATACATGGTCTAACATGGATAACCAGTAGGGCACTATTTCATAGGATAACATCTCTCAAAAGTCAAAAAGAACATAATTTCTCATGCACATGTTTGACCTATCTTTGCGTAATTCAAAACATATTGTACGGCAACACAGAACAAACCTTAATGTTGCAATATTCGCACATAAACTTTCCAGAGAAGCTAATTCAAAAGGGTGAAAAAAAAGGTTCAATCCTGATATAGCATGCTATACACTAACAACCTGTTTATTCAGTAGCGAACAATAATGCCAAAAAGATGGAAACTCCACCCCCGGACAACTGTACCTATTAAAGGGTCCAGCATGGTAACATAGAGCAAGAGAAGCCTACAATAGTGATAGCAACAATCCAATTCACACGAGTTTATCCTGAACAGCTCGCAGAAACATTCATATACCCCTGCTTCAGACAAAATGTAACACAACAATTTTGGTAGACCATCCTCCAAGCATCCCAGAAAGTCTCTACGGTCTTTCTTGGATATGACCTCCAGACTCTAGATCTGGAGCAATCCAACATTCTTAGATTATACAAGTTGAGCAGAATTTTAAAAATGAAAAGAAACCATAAATAAAGTTTATCAGGAGCATCCAACTTGAGCATTAGATTCTGCTCTTGATTTTAAATCTAAAAATACATTGTCATTTTTGCTAACAACTTGCACATAACCAATTACCTAATCACAGAACCAAAAAAAATATATGTTTTATAAGATTAAAGAAAAAGTAATAAAGGGAAGTATAAATTGAAAACTTGGTCAGACTTCTGGAATCCCAAAACAGAGCCAACTCACTACTATTTGATTCTCAGGAAACTAAGAATCGATCAATTTTATTGCATTGTGGAGCACATCTACCCAAATGTGTTTTCCAACTAAATCAAATTAATACGACACAAATCTTTACTTGAAAATTAATACTACCCATTAGATATTTTAACCTCATATAAGTATCATCTTGATCTAGCATGTGTGGAAGTACAGATCTTTTATATACATACTTTATACATGTAACTTTATAAACCAACCAATATTAGTCGAAAAGAAACGTGGCGCATTTTACTTCTGAAACCAAAAATGGTATATATATATAAAATAAAAAAAAAGAAAAAAAAAAGAAAAAAGAAACATGGCCTCCAAATATAATTATTAGAAAGCAAGCAATAGGTAGAATTATAGCAACATTTACCAACTTCATTCAGCTGCTGATTACTCAAACGGTCAAAGAATAACATCCGCTCACAGTATTTGTCATACACAGCATCGAACCCATACCACAGCTGTTGACCTTCTGCTTCCACATCCCTCCACTCACTAGAGCTGGTCTCACCCTCCTCTTCCTCATCCTCTTCCTCCTCTTCTGGGCACGATTCTTCCGGTATCAACACCATAAAACTGTTTCTTCTCAGTTCTTTTAACCTCCTCTTGACCTCATTTGTGATGAAGTCGTCGTCGTCGTCATCAGCTTCAGGAGCAGAATCAACATTGCCTGATTTACTCAAGTCATCACCATTCTCATTCTTTGGCTCCTCTGGCTGCGGAATGGGTTTATCCTCTGAATCCTTTTCTGGATTTGGTTTGTGAGCTTTCCTAAACTTCTTTACTTTGAAGAAATCCATCATCAACTTCTGCTCAGTCCAACCAAATATATATATATATATATAATAAGTCACATTCTTTCTTCTTAATCACAATTTAGAACACATAGCTCTCACCAGAATAGAAAGTCACTTTTACTTTGTCAATAAAGAACAATTTTCCTTTTGCAATACCTTTTTCCCAAATAAAAAACCCAAAAATAAAATCAGATGAGAGATTTCAAGTCAAAACGACAACAAAGTTATGAGGAAAACCCCTCTGAAATTTCTAAGAAACTTCATTGGATCCAAAATCTGTTTATAATCCATTTCCCGCCCGAGTCTGGCAAACAAGAAACCCTAAAGATCTTAACATGAACCACAATATCCGAGTTCCCTTCACAAGCTAGAACCCAATGAAGCTCAAACAGCCATAACTGCACAAGCTTTGAAAATGAGAGGATTTAAAGAAAATTGATGACAACACAGAAATTCTAGCAACCTCAAAAGGGCCAAAAACCAAATTTTTTCTCAAAATATCTTACTCAAACATTATTTCGTACAATAAAAGCCCTAGAAAAACAACTTCATCAAAGTACATTTCCTTCAAGAGTATTCAAGCACAAATCAGACATGCTTTAATCTATCAATAGTTCACGCATTAAACGAAATAAGAAGAAATCAACTCTATGTGAATCCAAAAACAACATTCAAGTGATTGAAACTAACCCGAGAGATCTGTCACGAGATTTGCAGGCTTTCTCCGATATTTCAGAGCTCAAAACCAGACGCCACAGCAACACTAACACTGAAGCACAAAAGGGTCACTGAAAATCTGAAAAAAATGGGGTGATTCCTGAGAGAACGGAAAGTGAAACCCTAAAATGGGGTTTGGGAGGGGGAGTGAAGGACAATAGCAACAGCAACAGCAGTGGTGGTGAATTGGGAAAGCCATAAATGTGTACCATTAGTAATTGATTAGTTTCCATTTTTCGATATAAAAATAAAAGTTTGTTTATTAACGTTCAACAAATTAAACTTTTGATTAATTATGGGTCAAGCTAAACTTTCTCTGTGGATGTGTGCATTGGATTGTATTTGGAGCACGAAACCCTAGATAAACAAGCAGCGAGCGGGATTGTACAGAGAATATTGTCAGAAACAGAAAGCCGCGAAAGAGGAGAAATTATCAGGTGCTCCGCGTCTAAACATGTCATCGGGTTGGTGTTTATGGTTTGACCAGTGGAAAGCTTCCACGTTTGTGCTTTTGAGGATGCGTCAGTCTTTTTGTCACTTTAGCAACCATGGAGAGGCCCCAGGACAAGACAAGAGAAGGGTTAGCCTTCAACTATGCATGCGAATGAAGGTTTGACGCTCTAAACAGCCTTTTTGTCACTTCATCAATGCCCTTTTCAAGTTTCAAAGTGTCTATATATCAATATATATATATTCTTTTTCGTAATTGAAGTCTTAAAAAAAATAATAATAATAAAACAATTTTTCAATTTTTTTATCATTAGTCTTTTATAAATATACATTTTTTTTTAACAAAAATGTCAATAATGTTTTATTCTCCCGTGTAAAAATTAATAGTACTATCATTTCAATTTAAATGTGAAGTACATTTCTTTCAAAAAAAATACTGCTAATATATATAATATGTTATTTACACTTTATTTTTGTTCGCAATAGGTTTATGATTTTTAATAAAATTTATAATTTATTTTTTGCAATATTATGAGGTGGATTTCCATTTCAAATCCATTATCTTACTAGAAGTGTACAGGTTCCACCTCGGTCCTATTTTCCGAACCTACCAAAAATAAAAAATAAAAAAATCAATCTCAATGGTTTCGAAAATATTAAAACTAATTAGTTGAGTCAGGTAGTTTTGGACTTTATATATATATATATATATATATATATATATATATAATATGATCATATGTATTGCAATGCATGGTAAATTATATTTTTTACAAATCAAAATTCAACAACAGTATATAATGCTGATAATACATACACTAATTCATGCATTACTAGACGTTGGAATAGTCCTTTTAAAACCCCAAATTGAGAAAAATCGTATTCATCAGGTTTTTTTTTTTTTCACACATGCCTCCAGCTCAAACCTTTGACCTATTTTTGAAAAGTAAGAATTTAATACCGTTAGAATAGTCCTTTTAAAACCCTAAATTGAGAATAGTCCTTTTAAAACCCCAAATTGAGAACCAAAATCGTATTCATTAGGTTTTTTTTTTTTTTTTTTTTTTTTTTTTTTTTCACACACATGCCTCCAGCTCAAACCCTGACCTATTTTTGAAAAGTAAGAATTTAGTACCGTTAGACCACTGAATTGGTCTTTCTTTTAAAACTATAATCAAGTGATTCCATCACAGAATCACAAATTTATTAGTTAAAATAATCTTTAATGCTATCAATTTATATATGTGTAACATAACTTCACATGCTTATGCAATAATTTTGATAATAATTTTTAATGCTACCAATTTATAACAATTTTTAATACTATTTATAACAATTTTTAATACTACCAATTTTTATATTAGTAACATAACAATTTCACATCTCATGTAATCGATGTGTCTCATACCATATACCCCTCACCACTTATAACACTTTTTTTTTTCCATTAAACCAGTCCGGTTTGCCAATTCTAAGAGGGTCCTACATAGGGCCATTTTGGAGCTCATATTCTTCAAAATGAAATTATATTACTAATATATATGTGTAAGTGTGTGTCTTAACATAATGTGATCGCACGTGCTGTCATCTTTGGATTCTCCAATGTCGGATCTGATACTATCAATATCATCAATGTTAAATCTGTCTAGAAAAGTTAATTCACAAATGCAAAACTAAAGGGGTAACCTGAGACAACATCAATGTTTATTCACAAAAGTACACTATTGTGAATTACACACGCAAAAAAGAAGTACCATATAAACGCACACATACACAAAGTGATATACACACTTATACATATAACTAATTACTTTTGTAGAATTCTCATTTGATGTTCAAGTAACACCACCGAGTACCTTATCATTGATGTCACATATCAATGTTTATTCACCAAAGGACAGTATTACATGAGACATGGATTTGCTACTTAAATCATACTGTACAACACTTGTACATACAATTACTAGTTTTCTTCTTAAACATTACACAAATGTACAGTTTTTTTTTAGTTCTGCTAAATGAGAGAATTTAGGAGTTACATTTATACATACAATTACTTGTGTATTCGAACTGGGGCAAGCTAGTAACCTAACCATGCAGATGGTATTGGCTGAAATCTGTGCTTTGCACACGCCAGTACATCGTAATAGTCCACATGATTGAAGCAGTCACGGAAATCTGTGAAGAGCTTTTCGAACACCCTCCACTGGACTTTGTATGATCTGGTGTATGGATAGGGTAGAAAAACCTGCAGAAAGTAGACATGGCATAAAACATAGTAAATAACATTGCCAAGGAAGAAGACCCTTCACAGAAGGGGATGGAAATGAGAATGATATCGTCGCGTGTTTCATTAACATGAACCAAAAATGAAAAGAAAGATGATTTGTGGAGCATAACATTCATTGAGATTTGAGAACGATTTGGGCCTTCATGTCAGTTATAATGGCACAGGAAACATTAACAAGACATTTTATTTCATATATTCCACCTATAACAAGGGACACGACTCTTCCTGAAAAAATTTGCTGATTACCAAAGATAAACCCAACCATTGTTTAAATGAGGAACTTCTATTTTCAAACCATATATACATATATCACATTCATAATCCAACACTGAAGTAAATCTAGGACTCTCAAAGTAGTTTCACTAGGTACGGTAATTGGATAATAGAAAGAAAGGGTGTTCAGAGTTCTTGCTTACATCACCCTCAAGTGCAAGACGTTTAAGTAAAAGAAACGTTCGCCCATTTTCCTCCAAATTGTCAATAACAGCCAACCAGATTTGTGACGCAAGCTCATGGGCCCTGTCTCGTGATTTTCCACAGGCAATAAATTGATCTGGTAAAATCCAAATGGATTCCAGTTAGAAATGAAATCGGAACAGTCAATTTTTGTCAAGCTGGTGATCAAATATAACAATCAGACATCAGTGATTCAACACCTAAGGATTCGTTAAACATTTATATGATTGGATTACCGGAGGAAGGTTGCATACAGCTACATAAAGCACGAACTTGTATTCCAACCAATAGAGTACATACAGGAATACAAAACGTCATTTATTGGGTTCATACCCATGATCCCTCGCATATCAAATGTTTTGAGGCAACTAAAAGAAGCAATGATTTTTAACGACCCTAATTAGCTGTTTTCGAGTGTCCTTTTTAAGTTAAAGAGAAGATGAAGATGAGATGATGCAACCTTAAAAGGCCCCTTTTATTGTCTCCTAGATAGGAAAAAAGTACTTAATTCTATTGTAAAAAATATCAACACCATTGTTAAATTTAGGGTGCATTAGGAAACATTATGAAACCCTGGATGGATATGATATTCAGTGTGTGTGTATAAGATTTTCCCATTTAATATATATATATATACACACATAATATCTGGTAGATGATCACAAGATAGCACTTGTGAATTAAAACTATAAAGACATTTAGTGGAAATTCATGATTGACAAGAGTAGTGACTCTATCATTAATCATAATGCATAAAAGTACAGTTTTGGGCATTTTGGCTTCAAAAGTAATGATGAAGGGAATGGTGGAGGTGAGGTCCGTGAGGCAGCAATGACAATGAAAGCAGTGAAAGTGAGAGCAATGGTGGTGGTCAAAGGGGCTGTGAAAGTACCACTAAGGGTAGTGTCATTGATGATAGCCACATGGTGTAACAATAGTGGCAACAGTTGCAGCAACAGTGGCTTTGGGAACAGCAGTAATGGAGGTAGTCGTGGTGGTGTTTGTATTAACGACGGTGGTGTAGGGAAGAGGAACGACAATGTAAGTGATCAGGGTAGCTGTGGTGTTAACAGTTGTGGCCATGGCAACATTAATGGCAATGGTGTTTGTAGGAGCAGGGGAGATGGGGATGGTAGCAGTACTAGTGTTAGTAGAAGTACACTTGGGTAGTTGACAGTTGCTACCAGTGGTGCTCTTACCAAGAATGGCCAAGTGCAATTTTCAGAATCTTCACAAAAATAAGCAGTCATTAATTCTCTTGCTGAAATAACGGAATTTTGTACAAATCAGGTGGTGCAAGAAAGCATTTTAGGCCTACTAACCCAACATGATATTGCAGCAAGAATGCTACCAAGAATAAAGCAAAACAAATGATGACATTCTCTACAAGTTAGATAGTGCAAGAATGCATTCTCAGGCCAATAACCTACTAGCCAAACATGATATCAGTTAAAAATATATATACTGTCAGACACAACACAAATCAAAACTTCATGTGACGGTTGAGTTTTAAAATTTGCAAAGAAGTTGAATTAAAAGTCATTTTAAGAGGCCGTTTCCCAAAACATGTACTCTGGACCACAATCCTAGTAAGTGCTAACTCGAGAACCCTGACATCCAAAATAATACTGGACAAAGTAACAGCCGAATGAAAGTTGCAACATTTGTAAACTTATCATACCATGCATTGTTGCATTCAGCATGCACTTGATGCAGGTGAGTTGTACATTGTAAACTATATTCCTGATCAGTGGTTGGGCCATACAGTTCCCAACTTACTGCAGAAGACATATGAAAGCCCTTGTGACAGACGATGATGATATATTACATTTGGTGGCTGAATCTTAATACATTTCCTGCAATAATTTCATCCATGTGAACATGAATGTGAAGTTGTATAAACCAGATAATCATAATGTTTTTCCTAATGATGATTTGTATAAGTCTATGCAATGTAACAAGGTTACTCATGTTTTAACATTTATTGGCCAATCTGCTTGTGATGTCCCACACACCTAGAGGGAGAAGTTGCCGGCACTTAAGGGGGATGCCTCCTACCTGTGTAGACATGTTCTAAAACCATGAGCGCCTATTTTTTACATTTTTGGTGAAACCATTTTGTTCTTTTTCCTTTTCCCATCTTTCCAGGTTTGGAAGAAAAAAAAAATTTTATTATGTGAGCATAAATGCTTCAAATACTCACCCTCTTTTAGTGGCATTACATGCCATATGGTCATACTGTCCCTTGTATCTGAAAAACCACCAAATCTAGAAGCTTCTGTCCACAATTCTGATTGGTAACTTCAACTCTAGTTCATTAATCAGAAATCTACATTTAGGGAAAATTACAAAAGGGACCTATTTGAATATGCACCCAATCAGATCACAGTAACCACTGTAAAAGTGAGGGACGCGGTGTGGATATCTATATTTTCTAACATTACCTTTCTTATAGTCATTCTCTCCTACGTAACTAAAAACACTTAATTCCAGAAGCATTTCCATTCTGCTAACTGTTACCAAATAAATCAAATGTGAGAATATGAGATCATAGCATCCCTTCTGCTACCTTATTCCCAGAAAACAAATGCAAGAAATTTTCCCGGGAAAAAAAAAAAAAAGAAGAAAGAAAGAAAAAGGAAAAAGAAAAGAAGAACAAATGCAAGAAAATATAATGTAAATGTTTCTTTGCTTTGCCAGTAAAACAAGCGTGAGAAAATAGGCTGCAGGTATCTCAATATGATGCTGACTAAGTGGCAATACCGCAAAACAACTACACACTGTAACTCAAAAATGTCACAAGCAAATAGCACACCCCATGGAACCTTTTCTATGAGGTCTCCTATCAAATACTCTACAACAGGAGCAAAAAGGAAGGGGGGTTTGTGGGCTAGGGGCTTAGATCAACTCTTGATGTAAGGTTACTGTCACTCAAAACTAATTAGTATATCATCTTTATGAACAAGGGTTTTCAAATTAGCATAGATGATTATTTATTCAAATAATTAAAATTAAATAAAAATCAACCTATACAAAAAGGACAAAATCTAAGTGATGACTGCACCGATTATGGTTCCGTGAAGTATCCCAGATGGAGGCGGCATTGTTGAAATTTCAAGCTGCTCCTTCAGAAACAAGTAAGCATGTCCCGCAATCTCATCCATTTCACCATCTAGTGAAAAGATATGCTTACCAACATATAATGCAGCATACCTCCTGAAAATTAGGCAAGAACATTAGAATGTTCTCTCTAACAAGAACTACTTGACCACAAAAAAATAGAAGTTGTGAGAGAGAAAAGGATTTCATATAGTCAGGCTGTATACATAGATCGTGCATTGCTCTACAAGAAGAGAAATAAAATAAAATAAAAATAAAAAATAAATAAAAAGTATAACAAGTTTTTTTTTTTTTGCTTTCACATCAAAGTCGAAACTACTAGAAGTATGCATTTTTAATCATACAGACTGTGCTACAGATTGTAAATTATTTGAGCAAGGCTTAGATATATATTCACACATACACAAGACTTATTTTGGTTCTTCAAAATTCATTTCCAAGGCAATAAAACCATGTCCAGATGTCTGACCTACCTTTTGCTCAACCCTCGAGGAATAGGCCCAGGCCACCTTTTAGATTGGCCGGCTGAAGGGAAATGCTTGGCAAGGGCAATGTGCCACAAGCATTCTTCCCGAAACAAATTAGCCCACTGCTTCTTAACGCAAGACACTTGTGCCCAATCTGAGATGGGAATCCGAATGAATATCTCTATCAGTAGATGATCTGGCAGCGTCCCGAAAGGATTATCAGAAAATGAATTGTCAACTTCGCTGTCTTCTGTCATTAGGCTGCATGATGACACTGAACAAATCAGTAAGGACAAGAAAATGACAAATTCAAAGAAGTCATGAAGAAGATATATTTCAATGACAAAAGGCCAATCACCACTACAAGATCAAATTCCTGGAATAACAATGATGTGAAGTGGACAGACAACAACAAGAGTGAGACTGAATGACTTATAGCATTCCCTCATATGACGCTCCTTCATTACCGTGAAAATCAATTTACTGCTGACATTCACTTTCCTAAGACATTGTGATTGAGCCCTAACTGGAGTCTTCCAAATATATTATTTTCCTTGCATAGAAGAGATGACATGAGTTATTTCACGAGCTTTTAAGTAAACCAACTAATAGCTATCACTATGTCAAGTTCAATTGTAAAATCCGGCAGTAACACTGCTTGAAAAGAACATACAATGTTCTGCCAGAAAAGAAAAGAAAGGTATAAAATATGATATATTAACAGTGATTGACAAATTTAACTAATCATTCTACAACGCTTGCATCTCTGTAAATTAAAATCAATGAAATAATTAAAATCACTAACAGTGTCATTATAGGGAAAATTAAGAATTAGGGATCAAGTCCTCCCTTCCTTCAAAATTCAGAAAGAATGGGGAACCTTATTAGGGCGACTTCAGCCCTAAACTGCTATAATATTCTTTTATCACGTTGTCTCAATGAATAGAAAGACAGCTAAAAGTTAACTTCAACTGAAGAGCCGAGTACAACATTTCATTTTGTTAATGAAAAGAAATAAGTGCTAGACTCATGAAAATAAAAAATAATTTAGGCAGCACAATTAGATTTAATATATATATATATATATATATATAAATACATATATATAGATTAAGAATTTGAGAATAACAATGAGATTTATCTAGAAAGTTCCTTTTCATGTTGTGGAAAATTAAGCATCAAAAAAAGGGAAACAGATTATATCACATAACTAATCTTTTTCCAAACAGATCTAGCTTAACAGTATTAGTTTTAAGAATCCATTAGTGTGCTCAATCTATATTCAATAAACCCAAAATTATATTACAGCATGATTCAAATCAGAACTGTGAAACAGAACCATATGAATATGAAAATAAAAATAAAAATAAAATTAACCAGAAACTTGCTTTGAAAATATTCCATAAACCCATGTTAGATAAGTTCATATTCACCAAAAATTCTCACCAATTACACAATTCAGAACAAGAACTAGTATATGATTCAGAAGAGGTAAAACAAAAGATATAGTAGTATATACAGAGACGGAGGGAAACCCAAAGAATGAAAAATTCAACAAAATACATAGGAAATGAAGAATCAGCAGACAACAAATTGAAAATGAATCCATCTGACTAAAGATACAACCTCGAACAGAGTCACATATAAATCCAATGAAATTCAGAAAACTAATACAAGAAAGCTAAAAGAAATTAAAGTGAAATTCTCACCTGAAAATGGGGAGAAGGGGCTGTTGTTCACTTGGACTTGAGAGAAAGAGGAACGGCAGCTACAGGAGTTGTGTCTTGTTGTGAGGTCCCATCTCACATTTTTAATGATAAAATAAGAAGTTTTGTTATTGAAAGTAGAAAGCAAATTTCAATTCAGAAATAGAAAAATTACACTCCGTAATTGATTAATTTGGGAGTGACTAGGCATTCATCAGTTGACACGTGGCACACTAATCTCATTAGTCCTTTTCTTTCCTTTACTAAGTAAGTGGCCCACACATGTGTTGTCTTAAGAGTTTGTGTTGATATTTGGATGATGCCACAACAGTGGCCACTTGATTAGAATGTGCGCGTGTGTGTGTATATATATATATATATATATATATATTCACCCAAGAGAAAGAGGGGCTACCATTATAAGAAGTTACAATGCTCTCAATTGACTAGTGTTGGGTGTTTGAATATTTTTTTTTTTATAATTGTTCATGAGAGATAATGTATGACATATTTTTGATAATAATAAGAATTTTGATAACTACATTAAACATAAAAGGTATATATTCACACCGATAAAATCATACTAGTAATAATTACCGTGGAGAAAGAAGACAGTTGTAGAACAACTTGTCCGAGGAAAAATAAATAAAATTGCATGAAACAAATGGGTATTACTATTACTGACGGTTATTAATTAGTCCTCATAAAAACAGATTTTTGTGATTGAAATACATATTTCTAATCATATTTTTCCTTTTTTATTTATTGAAATACACAAATTTAATGTAGTATTTCTAGCCACTATTATTATACAAACTTCTACGAAAAAGCACCTTCTTCAAAAGCGCTTCACGTCCAGGGAACGGACTACGACTCTCCACCGTCCGATCATCATCCATCTTCTTCTTTTCTCTCTCGACCCCTACCTCCTCATCGTCATCGTCGTCGTCGTCGTCAAACCTAACCCTACCTTTCCCTTGAATCCCCATCCCTCCCAATCGCGAACCACCACTCCTCTTCAGCCTCACTCTCTCTCTCCTCTCTCTCCTCTTCTCTCCTCCATCACAACCCCCAACTTTCTCTCTCTTCAATCTCATCAATTTTCTCTCTCCACCGCCATTGCTACTCTCAGATACCCTAGGTATTCGCCCGCCCTTGGAGGTCCCAAGAAGCGCAAAATCGATCCGACCCCAACCCACCTTGTCGTCGTTGTCCCAACCAAACCTCTGGCTGATCTCAACCAACTCAGAGACTCCGCTGTCAGGTCTCGACTGCGACGTCGAGGGAAGGTCGCCGTTTAGGACCTTGTCAGCGAACTCCCACTCGATTCGGTCTCTGTAAACTGGGTCTTCGAGGACTTCGTCGGCGAGCTTAGCCCAGTCTTCGAAGTCGCGAGCTCTGAGGTTCTTGGAGACCCATTTGAGGTAATTGGAGGGCAGGGTTCCCAGCATTTTGCCTTTGTGTTTCCCAAAGTCGATGACTCTGTCACGAGCTGGGAGTGAATGAGCTGAGATTGAAATGGGTTTGATTATAGGCGTTGGGGTTTTGGGTTTGAATTGGGATGAAAATTGGAGGAGATTGTGTGAAGGAGTAGAGTGGAAAAGCAAGAGATTCATGAGTTTCAAACCGCTCGTTAACACAAAAAAAAAAAATGATTTGAATGAGGGGAGAGAGAGACTGAGTCACTGGAGAGTATCTTGTATCAGATGGGTTTCCTTTGCAGTAGTGAACTGGGAAAAAAAAATACTGTAACAATTTAAAAGACAGGAAGGTGATATTTCAGACGATTTTGTGCAAAATATATATATATATATATTCACACAGTTTTTTTATATATAAATACGTTCAATTTTTTTTTTTGTCCTTTTTATATTATAAATGCAACAAATATTTTGTCTCTTATATATATATATATTGTTTTTATAATTTAGCAGGATAATGAAAATTTTGTTAGAGGCTAGGAAGCACTCGGATGTGACACAATGCGGACAAGTTGAGACAGATGTTAAAAAAAATAAGACAAGTATGTCATGAATATATAAATACATAATAATATATATATAATATATATTATTATATATTTATATAAATAATTTATTTTTTACCATTTTACTTATATATTTATAAATAAATCAATAATTTGGAATTTAGAACTGTATATTTGTTATTTTTTGTTTTCTTAAATTTATATTATTTTCTAAATTAACCTAATGTATTTTACATTGAATTCAATTACATTTTTTTAAAAAAATATAATTACAAAATCATTCTGACTTATTCTAAAAAGTATTCAAAACTTATCACATCTGACTTATTCTGACTTATTCTAGTTGTATCTTATACAATTTCGGATCATATCTGTATATTCAACTAGTGTTCTAATATACAATACTATCATAGCACCTTACAGGGAGTATTTGTATTTTAGTAGAGAGGTTAAACATTCTCTCCTTTTTTCTTTTTCTTTTTTGAAAAAACAGAGAGGTAAATTAAAGTGACCTCCCTTCAAGTTTTGACAAATTACACAAAATATTAAGATAAAACATTCTCTCCTCTTTTAAGCTTATCTAATAATCAAATTTTATAAAATGATAAATTTGTCATTTTGTACAGTATAAAAATAATGACAATCTTGACTTTTCACACTTAAAAGTCGTCTACAAGCAGCCGACGGCCCAAGTTTAGATAGGAAAAAAGGTGAATATTGTTTTTTGAATTATCGGTAATTAATTTTGATAATGGTGTAGTTTTTAGTAGTTACAATATTTGACACTCGTTGGGCTCAGTACTATTTAGCCCAATAATTGGTAGTTAAGTAATTGTCCTTTATATTTTATATTTTATATTTTATATTATATACCACTTGCACTGCCATGCCAGGATCAAATGAAGCAAGCTTCCGACATCAATGGTCCAAAAGAAACAATGGGCTTTTTCTCGGAAGCCCGTTTGACCTGAAATATTATGTGGCTTTTCGCGTTGGACATGCCTAAATGTTCTTATGTATTTCTTCATGGGCCCATTAGAAAGGACCATTTGTCATTACTCCCACGTGACAATCCAACTTAACTTTAAAGATGATTTGACTTAAAAGTAACAAGGCAGGCAATGACACATGAACCCTGCCGCACTATTCCCTTTTCTTTGATTGTTTTAATATCATCCCTAACTAAAAAGGTAAAATCAATTGCATTAAAAAATCATATGACCATGGTATCAATATTTTCTCGATTTGTAATTTTTTCAGTAATTTTTTTTATTTAATTTTTTATCAAAGAATCTTCCTCGACTTATAACTCTTTTAAATAAATTCTTCTTGTCTAATTTTTTACCAAAGAAAATCCGTCAACTATCTGAAAGGGGTAAAAGAGTTAATATTTGAACCAAAATACCCTTTTATTTAAATTTTAATTCTCCCAAACTTTAAAAATTCATATTTCACAAACCGTACATTTAAAAATTATAAATAATATATGCTCGGAAAACTTATGAAATAAGGATTTCAGAAATATAAAATTTGTACAACAACCCTTCATAACAAGAGAGAAATAAGCCATCTAAAAATCTACTCCAATAATTTTATTTTATTTTTAAAAAATAAAATACTCGAGATATTTGCAAGAAAATTTTTAAAATTATTCATTTATATATGGAGCCGAATATATAAAAAATTTAGCCCCAACAGAGATCGATTTCATAAGATATCATATTTTGCGTCAAAGTATTTTCATTCTTTTATAGACTTACCATTTAAAAATGAATATTCGGTCTCTATTTGGGCTATTTTTTTTTTATATGTTATGCTCTATATGAAAATGAATAATTATAAAAAATTTCTTGCAAATAACCCGAGTATTTTATAAAAAATAAATAAAATAAGATTGTTGCAGTAAATTTTTAAATTGTCTATTTGTTTATGAAGTTTTGTTAAAAAAATCTTATATTTCTGGAATCCATGTTTTATAAGTTTTCTATGCATATATTATTTGCAATATTTGGGCGTATGGTTTGTGAGATATGAATTTTTTAAGTTCGAAAAAATTAAAGTTTAAATAAAAGGGCATTTTGGTCCAAATATCAACTCTTTTACCCCTCTTAGATAATTGAGGGGGCTTATTTGGTAAAAAATTAGACAAGAGGGATTTATTAGAAAAGGTTACAAGTTGAGGGGAGTTATTTGGTAAAAAATTAGACGTGGGGAATTTACTGGAAAAGACTACAAGTCGAGGGGGGTTTTCTGTAGTTTGCCCTATTATCTTTTATACTCTATTCTTATCAATGGTGAAAGCGGATGGCTTATTTTTCCTTCTGGGGGTTTAAGACAAAGAGATCCTATGCCTCCCTATCTTTTCCTGTTATGCACTGAAGGATTTTCTTTATTACTGAAGAAAACAATTGCGTGCAGGCACATCTATGGTATCCGAATTGGAAGAGGAATTAGTCCACTAACCAAGGGGAAGCATCATCTGTTCTAACACTATGTGAACAATTGTCGGGTCAAATGATGAATTTTGATAGATCGGATCTGTTTTTCAGTTCTAATGATGACCCAGAACTAAAGAAGACTCTGAGGAATATTCTGCATATTCAAGAATCAACATGGGTGAATAATATTTAGGGTTGCCTGCTGTTTTTGAGCAATCTAAATCAGCCTCTTTGAAGTTCCTGTCTGAGAAAATTGGAGCTAAAGTGCAGGCACTAAAAGGAGAACTCCTATCCAAAGCAGGTAGAGAAGTTTTGTTGAAATCTGTTTTGTTTTCGTTATCGTTTTATGTTCCACAATGTTTCAAGTTACCAGTAAATATATGTGACCAGATTCAGAGCCAATTTATTAAATTTTAGAAGAGTGATTCAGTGGAAATATCTAAAATATGTTAACTTAGATGGGATCGAATTAACACTCACAATAAAGATGGAGGTTTAGGGTTGAGAAATTTGGAGGTGTTCAATTTGGCGCTCCTAGCAAAACTTGCTTAGCGATTGGAAATGGGTGATGATTATTTATTTATGAAGATTTTTAAACATAAATATTTTCTTGATGTGGATTTCCTTAACTCTAACTGTCCTTCTCGATCCAGTTGGGTTTAGCGAAGTGTTGTGTCGACAAAGAAGCTTATTGCCAAGGGTTTAAGTTGGCACATCGGTAATGGGGAAAACATCAAAGTCTGGATTGGCTTTCTGATCCTTTTAATCCTCACGTTACTTCCCCACGTAATAATAGTATTGTCTCGCAAGTTTTTGATTTGATCATTCCCTACAACAAGACTTAGAATCAACCTTTGATTAGAAGTGCATTTAACCAACGTGATGCTGACTTAATTTTATAGATTCTAATTTCAAAATACATGGATGGTGACCAAAAAGTTTGGGGTGCTACCTCTAATGGAAAATTCACAATGCGAAGTGCTTATAGATTGGCAATGCAAGCGTATCATTGCCCCTCATCAGTTTCAAAGGGGGTTTCTGTTAGTTGTGATCAAGAGTTATCTACTCTGTGGAAAACTATTTGGAAGCTCAAAGTCCCCAGAAAGATTCAAATGTTCATATAGCAGTGCTGCCATGAAAGGTTGCCGATTCTTAGTAATTTAAAAGTGCGGGGTGTGGTTGAAAACGATTGGTGCCTGTTGTGTGGTAGTAAAGCAGAATCGGTTTCTCATCTATTGTACTTTTGTCCTACTGTTAGATTTGTATGGAAAATGTACCCATTACAGGTTGATTTCGGTTGTAATAGGCAACTTACAATGCAAAAGGTATGGATTTTCCTCCATGACTTGTGGGCCGGGTTAGAGAATGTTGCTGGCCACTTCTCTTTGGGATCTTTCACTTGTTGATAGTTGTGGAAGTGTAGGAACAATTGGTATTATAGTAGGAAGAAATGGAACCCTTCTGCAATTTTTGACAGAGTTATGCTACAATATTATAAATTTCAGAGCTTGGGGATACAGGAAAACTCTATTCAATTAACTGATCCTGATATTCAACCGATCTTTGGGCATTGGAAAACTCCTGCTATGGGTGTTTTGAAGCTTAATGTGGATGCATCTTATTGCCTAATGTCTAAATTATGTAGAGGTGGTATGGTATTGCGCGGTCATGATGGGAGAGCCTTCAATGTTGGTACTGTTTGTTTCCACAACATTAGTAATGATGAAGCTACGGAAGCCATTATTCTAAAGGAAGGCTTGAAGCTCATGCAAAAATGGGGCTATACTGACTTAGTTGAGATTGAAGGAGATTGTAAACAGATTATGTCTCTAAATCCCACTAATGGTTTATCGGCTTCTGTATGTAATGATATTCAGCACTTAGTGCAACAGTTCTCTTAGCCTTTTGTCTTGGTGTCCTAGAGAATGTAATGAGGTAGCCCATGGTTTGAGTAGATGGGCTGCTCAAAATAGGAAAGGGGATTTTGAATGGGATGTTTGGCCCCTTTGGTTGTTAGAGTCCCTCGAGGAGGATTGTAATGTTGTTTGATTTTATAAAATTTGTCTATTTGTGATATATATATATATATTTCATAAACAAACAATTTTTTTATGAGTCACAGTTCTCAATGTGAACAACTATATTGGGATGGAGGGAGTATATATTAAGTGATGAAAATAAAAGAGGTACTCCCTCCGTCCTATAATAGATGGGTACTTTGAGAATTGTGACTCACAATGTACCCATCTGTTATGGGACGGAAGGAGTATAATTTTACATACCTTTTAATAATACTAGTAAAAATGACGTGCGATGCACATAATCAAAAATTATTCTATAATTTTAAGTTAAAAATTATAGA